CCTGCTTCTCACACCTTCTAGAGCAGCACCTGCAGACATGATGACAAAGGGAACTCAGGTGACAGGGATGCAGACTCAGAAACAAGTCACCCTTCCCCTTGCGCACGGGTTTAGATCAGATTCCCACATGCCTCGTGGGAAGAACTTCTGGGCACTACCGTATCTTAGCACATTTTCGGTGAGTTTTATTTATTTATTTATTTCCTGCGTAAAATTCAGTGATTCGTCACTTACAGGAACTTCATAGCCTTTAAAATTTTTCATAAAAGTGGTGTCAATCCACAGCCTGTTCTATGAACTTCTTACTTACTTTAATACCAGATATGTCAGTTGTCTGAATAATAATTCACTATGCCTAAGAGAGCTATGGGTGTGGGCATATCTTTATGTGCTGTGAACTCACTACGCTCTTTTCCTTTCAACTATTTCTCAATACGCTGCTCAAAATTACACACGGAAATTTCACTTTCTCGTTTCTAAAATGCACACCTGTGTTTCTCACTTCAAAGGACAGAGGCAATGTCCTGAAGTTCACCTCAGGGAAACAGCTTGATTTATATCCCAAATTTATTTTAAAGCAAGTTCATTAAAAATCTATTTTTATATCGAAAGTACTGTCAACCTATCCATTTCAACCCATTTTCCTGCTTCATTAGGCTTTTATTAAAAATGTGATCTTTTCCTGAAAGATGTACGTCTCCTGAACAACTATGTTTTCTCTTTGATTTTGAGCCCTATGAGGCTCTTTACAAAGGCTTCCTGATTTCAAACATTTGTGTATTAACCCAACTGTATAATGTTTACTGTTTACTCGTATTTTCTGAATTCTATAATCTAATATTACCTTGACCATTTGTATGAATCTTTATAATTAGGATTGGTCCATATTTTGTTTTACCTTTTTTTTTTTACTATTTTCTTTTCATATGAAAACTAGGTTAAGAGATGTCAATGATTTCCCAGTTTCTGTGTTCCCTCCATAGTAAAGTCCACCAAATCTCTCCTTTCCTGGAGGTTAGAAATCTACACGAAAGGACTTCCTCAGGTCTGGCCTGTGATATGGTGGGGACAGAGGTTGCTTTTTCAATGCAAATAAAACGATTATATATCCCTGCTTGAAACCTCACCAGATTGCTAGAGTTTGTCCCCAAACAGTGAGATGAGGATGGAGACTCCTCCTTCTGGGCACGCGTCCCTGACCTGCCTCCAATTCCCCACAGCCTGAGTCCACACCCTCCTGTCCCCTGCCCACCCCCACACGCCACAGACTCGAGTGCCCTCCTGTTGAGTGAGAGACAGAGTGTACCACTCTCTCTCTCTACACAGAAAGATATAGATATCAGTACATATACACCTGATTATGTATTTATATTATATCTGCTATTATGCAAATAAACATGGTTATAAAAATCCATACATATAATCTCTGAGTGTGAAACACACATACATCTATATCCATGTAAGTGTATCTGCAGCCATTGGTCCTCATGCCCATCATCTTCATCCCACAGCTTTTCACATGTTTGTAACTGGGCTTCCTGTCTAGATCCACACTGCAAGCAAGGAATAATGGTGTTCATATGACCCAATGACTGAACGTCTTTAGGAGATACATATTAATTTGTTTGATGTAGATGTGTGCATACACATCTATCTATCTATCATCTATCTCTCTATGAGTCTAGCACCGTAGGTATTTCTAACTACATGAAGAAGGAATTAACGAACACATCCAAGAATGAATACTCTAGGTAAAGATTAAAATGCAGACCCTGAAGAATGGGAGTCAGTTGACATGGAGCTAAGAGGACCCTGCCCCAGACATTGGCCCTTCTGTGCTCCTGACAGTCAGGAGCCCCTGACACGAGCCCCTCGTCCATGGACGCTGGGTCCTCAGCTACTGAATAAATGGGAACTCTCATCTGCAGGGACATGAGCACAGGAGGTTTGTGTTCCAGACTGAACAGAGAACATACAAGGACATGATGATTTCTGTGTTCGGAGGCCATTTTTCTCTGCAATGCTGAGCACCTGGGGCATGGCTAGAATCTCTCCAGAATGACTCAGAAGCAAAGTCTGAAACCCAGGAAAACAAGGAGGCTGAAGGAATCCAGCGAGGAGAACAGAGAAAACTCTGCTAGTGCAGAGAGGGGAGGAACTGTACAAAAACTGCATAGGGACAGGTTGAGGGAGATAGAACACAGAGCAGAGGGCTGGCCGCACGGGGGTCTCCAGCTCCTTCCACCTGCTTCCATCTTCCCTGCAGGAACAGCTGACCCCCCGAGCCCACCCCAAAACAATTCAGACCCCAGCAGTGGTAAGTAGAAGAATGTCTCAGTGATGGGGCTGGGATGGAGGAGGTGTCATGTCAGGGGCAGGCGGGTGTCCTGGGTGGACATCCAGGATCTGGGGGATTTGGGTCCACACTGACCTCTGCAACCTCTCTGTCCTCATTCTTAGCCTCAGATCGCAGGGATTACACGGTGGAGAATCTCATCCGCATGGGCGTGGCTGCCTTGATCCTGCTGGTCCTTGGGATTCTGCTACTAGAGGCTCAGCACAGCCAGACAAGGACCCCAGATGCAGCCAGGAGCTAAACACAAGGGGGAGCAAACACACCATTCCCTGTGGCGGACCTTTGGACATCAATCTGATGTGTCCAAGGGGATCCGGAAGAAAGCCTACAGCTCATGCTAGCTGATCTGTGTGCTGAGCACATCCAGGGGGAAACATGGTTTAGATGCCAGGAAATGTCTGGGCTGTTCTCAGTCCAGGACTCGCCCACCATGAACTGTGGTGCTTTCCCTCCTGCCATTGTTGGACGTCCTCGACTGCCGCCCTGTCTTTCCCCATCCCTGTGGTGTGAGGGCTCGTCCCACACAGCGGAGGTGCGTTCATACCTTCTTACAGCAGCGGCTCTGGTCCACCTTCATGGGATACATTTTCCTTTACTTTCCATTTCCTCATTCCAGGAGGTGTACTATGGACCTCCATCCCTTCAGCCCAAAACACAAAATCTGTTTTCATAAGTAAATAGATGGGTGAAAATCAGGTCCGCTTTGGAACACATGAATCCAAAACCTTTGCCTAATGCTGTCTGGACTCATAGAGGTCTTCTATCCTCATGAGATGACATCTGGTAGAGTTTTCCAGAAATACCATCAGTTTGAGGGAGCTCAGGGATGTTTGAAGTGAAGCCTGGTGGTGAGCTACTACACTGACTTCAAGATATAAATGTGTGTTTTTTTTTTAATGTTGTGACTAATGGCATTGCCCATTTCTTTGGTGTAAACACTCCCGTCATGGCCAACATCAAGGAGCCGCATAAATGCACCGTGTGCCCAGTCATGGAGTCATGGATACAGCATCTTTCACAAGTGAGTGTGATCCTGATGCAGGCGCACCTCCCTGGTGACCCCGACGTGCACAAGTGCTTCCTTCTATTTTAAAGGTCCTGGTATTTTCCACCTCGATGTAATGCCACAGTTTCAGGGAACCTGTGACGCCCAAATCCTCCTGCATGCACAGGAGAGGCAAGAGAACACAAGGGCAAAATCCAGTGTTGGAGAAAATACTGTGCACTTAGACTGCCAGTCCATTACATTACAAACAATTTGAGGAGAAGATCAGAATCCCATGGTGAAAGGAAGGGACACAGCTCTGGCCCATAACTCCACACCCTGGAGGAAACTGTGTGCGTATGCACGGTGACACCTGCAGGAGAACACTGACAAGGCTGTTGCTCTCTGTAGACAAAGCCACACAAATTAAACTACAATAAAGGAATGTTTGTGTTACGTGTATGCAATGGAATATCTTATGGCCAACAAAGCACAAATTAAAATACCAAGCAATCCTATAAATCACTTTGGAACTAAGCTGAAAAAAACCAGGGGACATTTTAAGAACCAGGTGTGTAAAGTCATTCCATTATATACATGAGTTCAAAAAAGAAGCATATATTATTTAAGAAGGCGAAGTTATGTTTAAGCCTATAAATAAAGGAAGGGAAAGAATCCCATGGCATCTCTCAGGTGGTAAACAACACGATGATGTTGAAGGTTTTGTTCAGGATGGAAACCACCATCTGGCGCACTGGTGGTGTTCTCCATGATGCTAGTCTGTCGACTCAGGCTCCACGTGTTGTTCCTGGTGAAGAACACGTTTCTCTCTGTAACCTGCACCTATTCTGCAGACACCTTAGTGAGATGGGGCTGAAGTGGGATGGAACAGCCATAGTCTACACTAGATCCTGAGCATCATCCAATGTCACCTTGGATCTGACACAGCACCTACGCACATGATGGCACTGAGGTCCCTCAAACAGGATCACTATCTACCCGCGAACTCTCACCTGAGTCTGATCAGACAATGAGCCACGTCCCAGGAAAGAAGCTGGCTCTCTGAACAGCCACTTCATTGTCATGGGCTGTGTGGTTAGGAATTAAAAACTGGTTCGAATGAGTCAGGACCTGTCATTCCCGGTAAGCCGAACCAAGTTGGAGATCATCGGTGTGGACCCGGGGCCACTACAGAGACTGCGCATGGCAATCTCTGATTTGGGTTGTCTACTTCGATGATCTGGGGCATGATGGCAGGAACTCTTATTCTGCCATCCTGCTCTCTGTCTATATTTCTGCTGTGTGAATTCTCACATTCTCCCGTTTTTCAGATGATGTACTTTCATCTTCCCTTTTCCTTCATATTTCATAAATTAAACAAATACGGCATGTCTTACTCTTTTGCTGCCAATGTTTTGTCCATGTTCCTGAAAAGGAAAACTGGGGTCTTCTCTCAGAAGCTCTTGTCTGAAAATACTAACAGAAAACATAATTTCCAAATAGCCTAAGATCTAAATGGCAGGGCAGATCCATACACTGTCCGCCACACTTGTCCCCAGAGAGTGTGTTCTCACACCCATGATGGACTGTCCTGCTCTGCTTTGGAAAATCCTCCGAGGATCTCCAGATCTTTCTCACGAGATGGTCCTTGGTGCTGAGTCAGGCATTCAAGGCTCTGCACAGTGGGCCTGGCTAACCTGTCCAGACTTATTTCCATCTGAACCTTGTCCCAGCTCTGATCATCAGTTCATTATTCCCACAATTTGGGCATAAGATAGTAAGTACATGGTGTTCATGCATCAGGGGTGAGCTGATGCCGGGGAATCCTGCTGAAGTGTCTCAGTCTCGTTCAGATGTCTGCTTCGATAGCTTCCAGAAACCATGCCCACTGTCTTTGATTGACAATCTGGGGGTGACTAGGCTCTGCATCATGGATCTCTAACCACTCCAACGTCTATTTCTGGAATATTGTCAACAAATGGAGAAGCACAAAACAGGATGAGAACACGCATGGTGCATCTTGTTGCCAACATGCAGTTGTGGACATGCCCCTCCCAGTTTACTTTACTTAACAGATGATGTCACAAGGTGGACTTCAGAGTGGCGACTTGGGCTCCACCACATGGACGGGCCCTGAAAATAGTCACTTCCAAAAGATGCAGTACAGGAAGGGAAAGCACTAAGTCTACACTGGGGAGATGCAGGAAAGCTTGAACAGCCACATGAATATCAGATGAGGTATATTTCACAGCAAACAATCGTATCACAGAAAAAGAGGGACAGTGCCTGATGAAGGGGTTTCCTCTGTAAGAAAACAACAATTCTCAATGTGCAACCACCGAAAAGCACGGCTTCAAAACGCAAAAGACCAAAATGGCCTGAACAGGCAGGGGGTTAGGGGGCTGATACAAAGGGTAGCACATGTGAGTCTTGATCTTGGGGTCCTGAGCTCAAGCCCCATGTTGGGTGAGGAGCCTACTTGAATAAAAATGTGTGTGTGTGTGTGTTTAATTTCTTGAATGGAGAAGAAATGGGGAACTCCACAACCAGGGGGAGACGTCAACACTCTTGATTGTACTTACATTTTACTTGCGAATTGTGGTGCCACCATTCCTGAGTGGGAGATGATCTGCAGACTCCTTCCTCTCCTGGTCCACTATCCATATGCATCACTGTCCTCACACATGAGCTCTGGGGAGGACCCCTCTCCTCTGAACCCCATAGCATCTTAACGGTTTGAGCGGGAGAGCTATACCCAGCATCATCGTCTTCTCTGAGGGGGCAGAATGAACAAGATGGTGTATCCTGAGATGTTGGAGCCAGAGGTCCTGCTACCCATGGGAAGGGGCAGGTCAGCCAGGGACACTGCTTATGAGAATGAAAAGCTGTCCTGCAGGGCCAGGAAGAGGATCCCACCATTCTCCCCGTGGGGGCAGAGGAATACTGCACAACACCAGCCCACTTCCTCCCACACCCCTTGTTCACTGCTTCTCTAAGGACGATGCTGTTTCGGTCTCCAGGCAGCCTGGCTGGAGAGGAGAGAAGCTTGCCCTCCATCCCTGTCTCTTACACCTCACAGCCAACCAGCCAGCAGAAACCACTCAGCCTCCTTCACGCCTGTC